AAATATAAATATAAATATAAATATAAATATAAATATAAATATAAATAAAATAAATAAAAATAAGACATAACGAATAAAAAGAAAACGGTTTTTCTAAAAAAAGGGGTAAAGAAACTTCAAAATGAAAAATCTCACAAGAATAACACATAACTACAAAAAAGAACCATCACAAGGTAATTTGTTGTAGAAAGGTGGGATAGAACCCGAAATTAAAGAATAAAGAAATTAAAAAGGTTAAGAGGAATAAGGCATAAAGAATCGAGCACGAAACGAAATTAGGGGGAAAAAATGTTAAAAACTCACAGAAATATCTAAACGAAGACAAAGAATATCACAAATTCACAAAATAGAATTTAAAAAATATTGTATGTACATTAGGGCTGTAAGATTATTCGATTACTCGAGCAAGTTGGTTAATCAGTTATTCGGTTAATCAATTACTTGAGTAATCAAGATGTTGATTTCTTAAAACGATGATTAATCGAGTTACTTGAAATACGATTACTCAAAAAATTAGTTTTGCTCATTAAAAGAGTTTGCTTTGAAAAATGCTTATTTTCTTTTTTACATTCTGTATATGAAAAAATATTTCATTTTAATTTTTGAAAACAGAAACGTTGTTTTTAAAGTATCAAGGAACTTCAACTACTTTATATGCAAATAGTACTTTGAAATGTTGATTACTCATTTAACTCATAATGTTGATTAATCTTAAAGCAAATTACTCAAATATTTGTGTTTTTGGTTAATCAAAATCTTGATTACTCGAGTAACTGAACTTTTGAGTAATCATAATTTCCAATTAATCGAATAATTGAGTTATTTACTTTATGATTAATTAAAATTTTGAATTCAATCAATTAATTGCACAGCCCTAATGTGCATACATATGTACATTATACCGTTCCCCGAACCGGTTCACTTTTCACTATAGTACATTGGTATTTACTATGGGTGGAATAGAAATTTTGGTGTGAAACTCAGGATAAGGCAGAATTTGTTCCAAGCTATTTTGAACATAAAGTTATGGAAAGCCCCGATTTAGCTGTTTTACAGGGTACCGAAAAGGATGTACACTCCTGATATACTTTCATAGTGACCGTTCAAAATCGCTTGGAAGAAATTTTAATGTACCGTCAAATGTACATACATACATGCATGTATTGAGAAAATATGGCGGAAGAGAACGAAACCAATTAAAAATTTAAGTATAAAAACATCAAGAAGCATTGAATTGTGATAAAATCAATTTAAAAAGTAGAAGGAACGCATGAAACCAACAACAACAACAAAATTAAAGAAGAAGAAAAGGGCACATGGTAAAACTAACTTTACGGCAAGTGCAAAAACAAAGAGTGCGAAAGGCGCACTAAAATGCATATTATATACCAACGTACATCCATACATACAAAATGCATGGAAATGAATATATGTATGTATTGTATATATGTATTGACATTCATAAATATGTGAATCTCAAACTAAAAATCTAATTAATCAGATTCAAACCAAAGTATGTACGCAACTCAAGAACTAACTAAAATCGAAGAAATGTGAAATTAAACGATTTTTAGATCAACCGAATAGTAATTGCAAAATAAAAATAAACCAATTATTTAAATATTTGTAAGATAGAAAGGCACTTTTTTCATATAACAAAGAAAAATTTAAATGGCAGTTAAAATATGAAAGAAAAATTATGTATGCAAATACCAAAATAAAAATATGTATGTTTCACCCATAAAATTAAAAAAAAAAAACATTACTTTGATTGTTCCAAAAAAACCAAATGTGCAATACATACAAAGGCTAAGTAAGACAAGTGCAAAATTTCTTTTAAGCATAATATAATTTAAACACCTCATATTAAATTTAAATCGTTTCACTAAAAATTATATTTTAATTCTAAATCTACTAAGCTAGTTGTTAATTTAACATCAAACAAAGTATGAAACTTCAATTCAAAGGCAAAAATACATAATTGTGAGTGAAACAAAAATTACAAAAAAAAAACGGTAAACTTGCAAAATGAAAATTTTAAGATACATTGTACAATTGATAAAAAGCGATAAGTAGAAACTACCCTCTGCAAGAAAAATACAATTCGATTCCTTAATAAAATATGCAATTTAAATGGAGAAAAATCAAAAGGAAGCGGATTATTGCAAGTATTGAAAATAAAATCTGTTTCTAAAGTAAGTGATAAATTTAAAATGGAAAATAGTTTGTTAAAACAAGATGCTGAAATAAAAATTATCTCTAGAGAAGTAAACAAATGCATGCAAAGAAACAAATGATATGCAAATTGAAAATAAAATACTTTAAAGTGGAAAATAACTGTAATAAAAATGGTTTTCATGAAGGGAGTGATTTACGGGCTGAGTTGTCAACGACGAACAATTTAACAAACTTTATTCGTCGTAGCATTAAGTTTTTTGCAAAAGATGTGCAAACACATTCACAAGTCGAAACCTTTGAAAGAAGATTCCCAAAGAAAATGTTCTTAGTACATGGAATTAAGTTATTAAAGAATTGCTCTAGCCTGAGCGCTTGTTTCAGCAGACTGCTTTTAATGACCTTTCGTTAGCCCCATGATTTGACGAACGAAAAACATATCCACAGCTCAGCTTCAGAACTTGGGCATTGTGGCCGTTACTTCCGTTCACTGGCTTAAGCAAGAGTTCATATAATTATCACTCCCGCGCCTTCTGCTTTCAAGTGGAGTGTTTATCATCATTGAATTTCTTTCCGACTTGTACAAAGAACAATAATAAATTATAATTTGGCTGGTAAAACAAACATTTATTTCATTCCTCATAAGCACCCTCGCCATCTTCGTCATTTTCATATTCCACATTATCCTCATCTTCGTTTTCGTCACCCTCATCTCCACCCTGTGTTTGTTGATCCCACCAAGATAGAACGCCTAATCCAGATTCATTAATGGCAGCCTGAAAGAGGAATTCATAAACATTCTTAAAATTGTGAGCGCAACATTTTTCCACTTACAATAATTCTATAAGGCGTCTTTACTTCAGATTGCTGTGTTGACGCTGCCGCCGCTGCCGAAGCTGCTGCCGATGTGCTTGCTTGCTGAGCATCTGTTTTAGGAGGACCTATTGGTGAGCTTTCTTCGAAAATTTCACGTGATACACGAAATTTTATCGGTTCACCTATATCCATGAATAAATCGTGCTTAGCACTATCTTCCAAAGGGTATTCCCATACCCAGGCTTGTTCGGCTTCTTCAAAACGTGAAGGATGTTGTAAAGCGGATGGTGGTATGAGTATATCATCAAAGAAACCAAGTGTTACATGTACACCTTCTCGACTACAGCTACGTATTTTGCCTGTAAGTATGCTGCCAATAGTTGGCCGAAAGACGATGTAGCGGAAGAGAACTTCGGTATGTGAAGCGCCATCGCCAGGCAGTATAATGGAATCTTTGAGCGATACGATGTCTTTGAGCGCAATGCAGAGGCCTAGATTCAGCAGAACCTGCAATTTACTTGATGGTGGAAACATCAAAAACACTTCATATGTCATTTTTAGTTTACCTTATTGGCCAACTTCCTGTTGATTTCGTCTCGTATCGCTTCAACCAATTTCAAATGAAATTGATCTGGCGCTATACGAATGGTATCTTTCAATTCAGCAAGCACAAACATTTGGATATCACTTTGTGATTTTAAAGCCGGATGTATAGATACTTTTATTTATTAGCAAAGAATGGCAAACATTTTACTTGAAACTCACATTCCATTCTCTGGCGTGTTACAAACAGCTGATCTGAATGTCATTCGCTGTTTTGTTTTGATTATTCAAAGTAAACAAATGCGAATTAAAAGACGAAAGGACATGGCAACCAATAATGCCACCCTTTGTTCTCTGTAGTTATTTTGGTCATACTCGTAAGTTTCCACAAAGAACGTAAATGTATAAGAAGCGACAACTCGTTAAAGTCGGCGAGTGAGGTCTGAAAGGTTGAGATGAGGAGTTCGCGTCCGTTTTAACATCCATTTTCGTAAATGAATTCGCCGCACATATGGTTTCGCGGCGATAAAGAACGTTAAGAAAAAGTGACCGATGATAGAAATAATCAAATGAAATGAAAACAAACATGGCCGCAGCTCTTTTTGATTATTTGCTGACGGCATTTAACAATTTGCATGCGCATGAGCATAGATTTACTTTATTTTATAATTTTAAACAAATATAAGTAAATTAAATACATGCGCTATGCAAGACCGTTATAAGCTTCCTCTTTAGTATGGAAGTTGTAAAGTTGTAATTTATGGATGAAATTACCCTTTTTATATCAACCAAATGTACTTTTATAATCAATAAATAATCTACATCAATTTGTACAAATGTACTCTTGAGATTTTCCTCCTAACATGTGTATGTTTCTACATCCATGCAAATATACGTACATACGTACATATGTACATATACGCATATGCCACTAAAATACAACAATAACAAATTCATTCAAAAACGCATGCGCATATTCTTCAAGGTCAAACTCATTCATTCATAAATTCAATGACCTTACTTCTCCCCGCAAACTCATCGCCCACAAGCGCAACATCTGCGCGAGGGCCACAAAAATTCTAAAATGTAAAATTGAAGAAATCACAGCCAGTCAAATGAAAAGTTGCAACTCAGCAGTAAAATCTGAGGACATTTGCAAAAATAACTTATCTCGAGCTTAGCAATTATTTCTCTAAATTTCTAAATCACAGTGCTCCTTCTAACTTTTAAACAATTAACTAGTTGCTTAAGATTTTATTTTAATAAAAAAACAAAATAAACATAAATTTTTTGCAAAAATTACCCATGATATATTGTTGTAAACTCAAAACTTCTGAAATCACATACATAAGTGGTTTTACAACAAATGGAATTTGGCAACATGGTTGCCTTCACCAGCTTCGGTCATCAATTTTAAAATTTTTGTAAACCGATCGCCTACGATTTGTTTACAGTTGACTCTAGATACTAAGAGCAACATGTATACGAATTCAAAAAATTTAATTATTTTGCATTATTGATAATTGCAAAGCTCTGAAGCATGTATAAGTGAGTGTATACATACAGACCTATTCTCCGTTGGTAACACAAATTTTGTTTACTATCATCAAAAGCGATAAGCACAAAAAATCGTACATTAACAAGCCCATTCTGCGTTGGTCATTTTTTTTTACCGAAAAATATAGTTCCTCTCTTTTTTTAACACTTTTCGCATTCAGCGAACTCTCGTAACCGGTAAAATTTGTTTGCATCTCATAAGCAGGCAACAAAATATTACCCCATGAAATATGCAACAACAGAATTTCTAAAAAACTTCATAGCTGAAATGCGGAATAAATTAAAATATTACTTAGATAATTAGAATTGTGGTAACAATGTTTGGTAACAGAATTTGCTGGTTAGAAAATTTTCGGTAACAAGCAAAATGGGCTTCAAGATGTTCATGTTAGGAGCAGCCTACTGTAAGCGTACATATGTATGTACATATGTATGTGCGTAAATATGTCAGGACGCGGCATTTTGCAGGAATTTAAGAACTTGTCAAGATAAATATGGCGGAGGACGTGGGAAAGACGGAGACAACTTATGTTTCATATTTATAGGTTTTTTTAGGCGGAGGATGTGAGAAAGACGGAGACAACTGAGGTTTCACATTTACGCGTTTATTTTTGGCATGCTTATGAACCAAAACTTGAAAACATTTATTCTTGCCCGATAATAACAAAATGTATGCATACTCATGTATAAATGCATAGATTTAAATTAAACTTATGCCATCTGTATATAATAAACATTGGTTTTGTAATAAAGCCGCTGTATACACACTTTATCCATCAAATCTACCAACACATCATTTTTTTGCATACTTTAAATATGTAAATTTCCAGATGAAAACAAAACATAAGTACACTCATATATAAATGCATAGATTTCTTATTAAACTAATGCATTTTTATATAAAAGTACACTGATTTTGTTTAAAATACTGATCACTTTTATGCACAGACTCCAACAATCGACACTTGTTGACAAACACTTCGCACTTACAAACACTTTATTATGAATATGGACACTTTCACATACATGCACTTCACTATTTTACACATTCACTGAATACTATATATTTTACACCTTCTTTTATTTATTTCCTATATTAAAATACACTTTTCAACAACTTGCGCAAAACAATCACCGAAATTCACATTTGTCGCTTTTCTTCTGTTTTGCTGACATTTTCCGCATTCGAGGCGAAAATCAAAAATCTGCCGCGGACAGAGTCAAAAGGGAGACGAACTCCTCATCTCAACCTTTCAGATACGGTCAAAATCGTCGCGGCACATTTTCAAAGTAACGAGTTGTCGCTTCTTATACATTTACGTTCTTTGGTTGAGATGAGGAGTTCGTCTCCCTTTT